ATGGGGTATTAAAAAAAAAATGGGGGGGAAAAACGGCCGCCTTCTAGTTCCGCGCCGCTGCCGCCCCGGGAGCGAATGAATAAGGCGGCGCAGACCCGGGTGTCCGACCCACGCGCGCTCCGCACCCGGGCCCTCTCCAAGTTGGGAAGGACAAAAAGAAGGCAATAAATGCTAACGAGGGAGAGAAAGGCAGCCGGATCGGGCGGCTACTCCCAGCCGCGGCTGGAAGACAGAGGGAGGGAGCCGGAGAGAGCGAGCGAGCGCGCGCCAGGGCGAGCCATGCACGTAAAGAAACTGACACCCGGACCCCCCACTTCTGCTGCACGTTGCTGGCAATCAGAGCGCGTTTAAGCAATTTCCTGAGCCCAAGAATAGCAATGAGTCGGGAGACTTTCGCGGGCTGAAATTGGGAGCTCCAAGCACTTTTCTCCCCACTTTATTTTTTTTCCTGGAGAAGGGGTGGGGAAGCGCTACAATTTGGAAACAGCGCTTTTTTTTTTCATCTTGCACTTTGAAACCGCGGGCCTGCAGCAGGGTACGCGCGTGTGGTTGGTGCCCTTTTCCCCCCCCTTCCCCTGCCTAAACTCCTCTGTCAGCCTGTAAACATTACCTGCGAATTCCCCAGCCGAAGCGGCGGCTGGGGCAAGAAACTTCTTGTTAGAACTTCCCACCTCCGGCTTCCCCTCCACCCCTCTCACTGTCCCAACCTTCGGAGACGCTTTTTCTCCTCCCCAAGAGGATTTCTCTTTTTTTTTCTTTTTTTTTTCTCTTTTTCTCACCCGCGGTGCCTTGCACTTGGGAAGAGGTGGTTTCCAGAGTGGCCAGGTGGGACGCCTGTCTGCCCCTCATTCCGTGTATTTATTATTGTTTGGAGGTGTTTTCTTTTTCGATTCCTGTTTTGTCCGGCTCGGGGAGTTTCGCCCCCCGCCCTGCCCGGCTCCGCGGCGCGGAGGATGGTGTGGAAATGGCTGGGCGCGTTGGTGGTGTTCCCTCTCCAGATGATCTATCTGGTGGCCAAAGCGGCCGTCGGACTGGTGCTGCCCGCCAAGCTGCGGGACCTGTCTCGGGAGAACGTGCTCATCACCGGCGGCGGCAGAGGCATCGGGCGCCAGCTCGCTCGCGAGTTCGCAGAACGCGGCGCCAGG